GCTGGAAACACTCCCTGTTCCGTGCAAGCGTTGCATGGTCAGTGCAGCATGATAAACGCTACGGTCCTTAAAGTTACTTGTTTATGGCTTTTCTTCTAAAAGACGCGTTATTATGGTGCACCTGACATGCGCAATAATTGTTTTTAATTGACAATCGCACAAGCATGAATGCTCAATGTTGAGCAACACTGGTGGTCGCTGCGCATGGGGTTGGCCGTTTCAAGTAACCGATGCTGTTAGGAATAGACAAACAGACAAGAGTACAGACAGACAGACAAACAGATAGACAGACGGACAGACCAAAGTTTTTGCAGTCCAAGGTCCCCAAGAAAGACGATCGTCTTTAAAAGAAAGAAATAAGCGTGGTGCCGTTGCTTCCTCTCTCAGTGGAGGGCACGGGCACTTCCACAGCACCGCGCACGGGATGGGGGAATGAGGAATGAAACGGACAGAAGAAAAAATGTAAGGGTAAAAAACGCATTCGATCTGCCTCTTTTACGCACGCGAGAAAACCCACACCTCACAGGCAGCATGGAGAAGACCGGGAAGAAAGCTGGGGGTACAGTGATGTGCACATTTTAACATGGGCGAGGAATAAGGGGGATGTCCAAACTCAGTCCGAGAGTGCTTAGGCAGCATGGCTTGAGAGGCCAAACAGAGAAGCTTTGGACTGGAAAGGCGGGCCGGAGCACAGAATAGAAGTCACGCTCGTGAGAGCCAACTGAGAGGATCTCCATCGTTCAAGTGCCGCAGCGAGACCGATCACGATATTTTTCCTGATCGTGGTGTCATGATCCGGCGATGACGAGGAAGCGGGCTCAGTCATCGTGTCCCTGGGGACGGTAGCAGGAACCGGCGGTTCCAAAGAACCAAGTGGTGTCTGCGTCACCGTCGAGCGCTTGGTGACGACTGGTAGGGGTCGGCTGAAATGTGAATAAGGGCGAGGCCGTCGTCATTATAGCGGGACGACGGGCACACTCGTTGTGTGGGGAGAGGTGGCCACCAAGGTTGTGCCACTGGTACCGGCGAAAGCATCTCGGAAGTAGGATCCCTTAAAGATGGTGGTGTAGGTGCCTGGGGTCCTGGTGTGTTTCGGGGCTTGGCGGCGAGTCACGATGCCGTCATTTGTCGCCGTAATGACCGCGGCCTTGCGTTGTAGTGGCCCGGACGTTCAACGTAGCTCGGTTGCAAGATGTTTCTCACGACAGTTCATGTAGCAAGGGTGTGCTGCCCACGATCCTGGGGCGTGCTTGGTGCCGCAGCACAGGCACAATTTTCTCGCGAGCAGGTGGCGGTTGCGTGCCCGAAGCGGCTGCCACAGGAGTACTGCAGGGGCCGGGGCTGACGAGAACGAACAGAGCGCCTTTGCTTATAGAGCAGTATATCCATGAAAAATGTTGTCCCCGCGAAGTTCGGGGTGAGGCAGTTGTCTCTGCAGACACCGGGCATGAGTAGCGCAGGTGACACAATGTTGTCGGCGAGGTCCCTGAAGGGGATCGGTGGGTCCACTCTATAATCCACGCCAAAGCAGGTGTTCAGGTCAAGTTGTTTGGCTCGAATCTTGGTCTCGCAGATCGTGCCGACCTGGAGTAGGGCGGTCCGATCGGTTGCATATCGATTATGACGAGGTTGCACCGGTAATTTACCCACACTCGCTGAGTGGCTGGGAACCCCGAGAAAAAGGCGGCGATCGACTTCCTCGACGGAGCCAGGAAGTTGGCCTTTTCCTGATGAGCCGAAAGATGATGGTGGTTGCACATTCACTCGGAGGAACGTCGCCAACGACGTGGGGACATTCGGGGCACGCGCGCACTGGGGGACGGGGGCTATTTGCTCGGCGGCCGCAGTGGTTGAAAGACGAGATAAGGAGTGGTGGCTGCATTTCCGATGGAGGCGGAAATGTTACAGGCCTATGTTCTCAGATTCGGGTGCACGTTAAAGAATCCCAGGTGGTCAAAGTTTCCGGAGCCCTTCACGACGGCCTCTCTCATATTCATAAGTAGTTTTGGGACCTTAAACCCCATGGATCAATCAAGACGAGATGAGGAGGTTTTGCTACCAGGGGCATCCCTTGCAGGTAGCCACGGTCGTGGCAGGAGACGAGGAAGCTCCAGTTTGAACCTTTGCTTCGCTTGAGGCCGGAGAGAGGGTGGCAGTGTGAAGGCTGCTGACCATCTGCGGCTCGGTTTTCTTAGGGAGTGTCGGCTTAAATTCTGCCTGCTGCTGCTGGGTGAGCACCGATGACGATGCCAAGGCTGCCAAAACGGCGTCCTGCTGTGGCATTTATTTCGGTTGCCCCTCTGAGACGCCATTTGTAGCCCTTAAAATGGCTGCATGCCAAAAGCGTGGAGTGAGAATCGGGGTTAGGATGAGAGCGCAAAAAAACACGCGTCACTTGAAGTCTCACCGATCTGGTTGGCTGTCGCTCTGGGTCTGTAAGAAATACGTTTTGAGATAGCGCTTCTCCATTAGTGGCGCTATGCTGGCCACCAATAGGGACGCGTCACTGTGACGCTACGGCGTCGCGAGTGCTGTGATGTGGCGGCAGCAATGCTTCGATCTACAAAGAAAGAGCATGAAGAAAAAAAATATTGGTGTAGAATATTGGGGAAGGAAGCACGTCTATTGAATCTGCTTGGATGCACATGCGATTTAAGCAGCTTTACCTTTCACGTGGCGTCGCATCACTACCATTCCCTGAACGAAGGCGGACAGACGGGTCCTGTTGAGGAGCACACGTTTGCACTGGCATTGCATGAAATAAAGAAGGCGTTCGTCATTGCAACCAGGCTCGCCCTTCCTGGAGTATTTATTCAGCTTCGCTCACGGCTGCAGCAAAAGGGAGGCTAACTCACTCATAGCCATGACTGAGAGTGACATGACTTCTTCGTAGCTAAAACTGACCCTGATAGCTACGAGTGGCGCTAATTGAAATATCAATGTTTAAATGTTGATATATGCATAATGAATTAATGGTATGGAAGCCATCAGCTTAGTTTATTTTATGAAGGATCTAAGGCGTTAGTTGAAGGTTGCAGATTTGGTCTCGGCTGGCGTCACATTATATCATTTTCTCTTTGAATTTTATCTCTTTTACATCACAGATACAACAGACAACCCTGTATATAATTCTTGCCTTAACTTCAGTAATTTCTTGTAAGTGTTGTGCTCTCTGAATTATAGATTTTACGTGAAAATGTCAGCTCTAAAGTTATGCCATTTCGTCGTGTGTTTGCTGAAAACGTTTTTCTCTGAACACAAGAACGCAACAGACTATGCTATGACCCCAGGCTGGTATTGTTTGTGAAACTTTCATGATTGCATATAACAAGTGTAGGCGACGTATTTAGGAATACTTCATATTTATGTTAAAATCGTAATATCTACTACGCCTCCATTATCCCTATTTGCTTAATAGAGACAAAGTTACGATTATTACGTACTTTTTTGATGCGAAATCGTTCCAATTTGCTATACGGATCATCCAACTTAATTAGAGCCAATAATTCAATATACAAATGAGTGTCAGGAGTTAGTTGAGCCGTATGCATATTAAAAGCGTTAGCCCTTTGTTATGTAGAGTAATTATAGTTTCTCTATCAATGAGCAATGATTATATATTAGTTATATATTTGGTAGTCTTCATTGGCTGAGGAGACAAAGTACAAATACAGAGTTGTGACGCCTATAGATATCAATGATTTAATAACTTTTAAATTATATGGCTCACATAGTTGATTTATCAGTTTTTACTGCAAAATATTGAAAAGAGCCGAATCATGTAGCACTTCCGCCCTATAGTACTACGCTCGTGCGAAACGTGCAGCAGAGCTTTAGCGCGTCGTGAACTAACTTTTCTTGCATTCAGAAAAAGACGGCAGCATTCAAGCGGGGCCAATTAGGCAATTTGTGGCGTTACAGGAAACTTTCATTTAGAATGCCATCCATGGTGGCAACTCGCGTTCTTTTTCTTTCTCCTCATGACGCTCATTTGTTACTTTTTCATAACCTCGATATACCATACGAATCACCAGTGTTTGATCTAAAACGTCGTTACAGCCATCAGGCCTGGCTGTGGCACTTCTTTGAAGTGTAGTGACTGTTCAAGGCACCCGACACAGTGGTCTGGTTACGGTGCTCGACTGTGAACCCATACATCGTAGGATCAAATTCCGTTCCTGGCGGTAGCGATTCCAATAAAGCGCAATGCTGGATGACCGTGTGCTTATACTTATGGCACATGTTAAAAAAATCTTAGGTGATAAAAATTACCGGAGGCCTTCCCTATGATCTCTGTGAAAATGATGAGGTGCTTTACTAACACATCTCTCTTGAGCAGAGAGATCAGCTTCATTAGCCCTGACAAGTTGCTGTTGCGGTGGTGCCACCTGGTGGGACACGGATGGCGCCACGGCAACGCACTTGCTTAGTGCACTGTGTCATTGTTTGCATTTGTTTTTTCCTTGACTTAACTATAGAATAATTACAGAAACATCATCGATAATATTCCTAGTAGAATAATAAAAAAATTTATGATGCTTCCGGCAACGGTGCCGGCACTCGGTAGTATGGAAATCGAAATCAAGTATATGTCTAGCTGCTAGGGGTGGCCTTCATTCTCGGCCTAGGCAATCGATGGCAGTAGAAGGCAAAAACACATTTTTACTGGCATTAATTAAATAACTGGTGCCTAATCGAGTCGTGCTTTCAACCCACGAGACACCATAATAACATCAATATGTTTAGTGATTCATTGGTTTTATCAGGACGTGTGATGGTTTCGCCTGCCTAAGAATTATTCTATCGCATGCATCAACGCACGCATGCAGCACTGAGTCTCACAAAATGTCTTGAATGCGCTGTTGCGTCAGTTTTCCACGCGCACTTGCTCAGTCACCAGGTGCTTCAGTAATGTTTTTCTTGCAATAACTGCCATGCTTTGTTTCAGCGAAACAATTGAGGTAAGGTGAAGTAAAGAGCAATTGCGTGACTTCGTATTGCAGTCAGGATCATGTAATCATGCGGCATCGAAGCTGCCATACGCTCGTAAGTACACCCCTTGAGATAGCCACCTCGTAAATTGGTTTTTCGTTTTGTTGATTATAATTGAACAAGAACCTGTGCGTACACGTCACATGTTACAGGTCGTCGCCTCAGTGGGACGAATAATCGTTAATTCATGCATGAGACACGTCAGTTGCTGAGTGTGGCATTGAAAAATTCATTTCGACCATGGCGTTTTTTTTTCAAACGATAATACATGCAGTGTTCACACCTGAATTAATTATTACCCTTCGTGACTTGGAAATACATTGAAGCAGCATTTAACGCACGCTAAGGAACTACATAGTTCCCGGTGACTGTTGAGAAGAAATCTGAGCATGAGATTCGAGTGCACAGACTTTTCAGGATTTGTGAAATTGTTGTGTGTGCATCCAGTATTTTTGTTACGAATATGTTAAGTGATTGTTGATGACAGACAGATTCATGGGAACTCTCTTCTCGAAGAAGACGCCATTCTTTCAAATTACCTAGATTATTTTGCGAAGGCAGATGTCAATATTATTTTCAACCATAACGCAGTATAGTGAAATGAAAATGTTTGGATATCATTTCGAATACTTCGACATACATGATTAGCCCCAAAGTGTACTACATGGTAGTGGCCCGTGCCATAGTGGCCTAGCGGCTAAGGTACGCGGTTGCTGACCCGCAGGTCGCGGGATTGAATCTCGGCTGCTGTGGCTGCATTTTCGATGGAGGCGAAAATGCTGTTAGCCCATGTGCTCATGCGTTGGTGCAGAGTAAAAAAACCCCAGTAGTCTAAATATATGAAGCCTTTCATAGAAGGAGTCTCTCATCGTATGGTGGTTTTCGGACGCAAATTTTCACATATCGATCAATCAATAGTAATGAATGTTGGGCCAGTTGGTAAGGCAGCATTTATCGTTGCATCGCGAGAACAATGAAGACGTGAGAAGGACAGTACACCGTGTAGTGCTGACTCGCAACTGAAAAGCTTTATTTAAAGAACGCATGAACGTGAAAGCAGCCAAAAAAGTATCGACAGTGCGCAGAAGTTTTAAAAGTCAACACACATTTGTATTTTTTGTGCTCTCCCGTCTCCCTCAGTCGAGCGCTTTATTTAAAAATAAACTCATATTCTGTGTCTAGTTGTATTGAAGTTAGAAACGCTAAACACAATGTCATAGCGACGATTTTTTTTTCATTGCTTAAAGCAGTGAAAACAACAAAATGCCTGGCTGTCCTTCAAAACAATTTTACAGTGAATATTGCGTTCGGACGAGAGTTAGCCTATACTAGGCAATATTATCAAAACTTTTCTGCAGCCTAATAACCTTCACATATTCTGGAACCTCCAACCTGTTAGGTTGAAAGACTTGCATTGTGAAATTGGGGTGCAATAACCATCTTATTGGTGGGCACACTGAAGGGCGCAGAAAACGTCAAAAAGTGACGGAAGAGCAGGAAAGTTTTTGCCGTGACGTCAAATCACCTTGTTAGCAGGGACGCGAGTGTGAGTTCTCGGGTTGCATGAAGAGATTCGGGGATTCGTTTCTGATGGAGGCCGCTTGTGGAGCTCCGCTGACCTGCTTCGGCTCACCGGGCCTGGTCTAGCGTCCCGGTAAGGGAAGTCATGGCTCATAAGGCCAAACTTGTGTGTTTTTTTATGAATGTATATGTGTCTAAATATTACATTATACTTGAAATATACGCCACAGTGTGCCGTTAACAGGTGCATTATGACGTATTTTCTCGACGTATCATACATCTTGCGACTTGTGATAAATCATAAGGTGTCGACTAAATTATTTTCCATCATGATCATACAGGTGATATGAAGCACTTTGGTTCAATACAAGTTGCCGGGCACTGACATGGTGACTATACTACAATTTTCTTTTTAGTATATAGCCATCAATCAGAAAAAAGCGTAAATGGCACACTACAAGAGTACATTTTTCACCCAAATATATAAGCGGAGTCAGCGTACTTCACTCCATGCACGCGTAAGCTTCGTGGTTTGATCACCCACTGGCCTCGCGATTTCAACCTCACAAATATTACACCTAAAATTTCTTCATTATAAAAGGCGCCGGTAATACAGGCAATATTGACGCTGATTACATTGTTTTTCTTCCTGCAGCATCATATTGACGCACTCCGAGAGCTGGTGCAATACAAAATGAGGTCATTTTCATAAAAATCATTTACTCGTTAACCAAAAAATTGAAGAATCTCTTCGACTATTCTGGCCCAGCACAGCCTAGCGAAAATGATATTCACGCTTGAATAACAATGCACTATTGTACATTGTTCTTCAACGTAAGAGGATGTACAAGCATCAAGCTTCCGCTCAAGTAAAACATTTTTAGAACATGACTACATAGAGGAGATATTTTTATCATACTTCACTCTACGTACAATGAGATATGTTTATACGCTGTAAACCTCATGCTGCGAAAGTCTAGGCTATGCATATAACATAGGCTATTCTGGTGCTAATATAACTACCACCAAAAAACCAGGCAGCATTATTAAAAGTTTTTAACTATGAACTACAGTTCGAAAAAAACTGTTGTGCCATGTGCTGCCATGCTTATACTTCTTTTTCCTGCAGTACCAAAACGAGATCCCTACAATAGTAGTTCGGCTAGATTTTTCGTGTCGGCAAGTACAATGCGACCGCCGCTGCACAGGCAAAGTGCTATCATCAATGACACAGCTGTGTACAAGCGTGGATACGGAAATAGGCCAACTATTTCTCATGGTCCGACTAAGAAAACGTCTGTTCAAGGTTTGATAAACACTATCAATCAAGCTCAAAGCTTAACCTTAAATACATTCGTCGTGGCGCAAGCACAATATTGGTAGATTTTGGAAGCAGCTGAACAACACGCGCATCCTAAATTTTTTTCTTTGATACGCCTGCAGTAGACCACAATTTTAATGCAACTGAGTTCTTCGGAGACCCACAGAGTGGCGGAAAAGTTGATAAAAGGAAACTAGACAAGTGCAAATTTGTGGCACAAAGCAGGTAGAAAATATGTACAGATTTCACAGAACAAAAAGTCTCTTATATGCCGAAAAATTTGTCCTGGTCTTGGGGTCGAACCCGGGTCCAACGCCTTTGCGGAGTGCTCACTCTGCCATTTTCATGGGTCTTTGTGCCCCAAACAGGTATTAGACTATTTTTTTCCTTTATTAGCCCTTGTGCCACCTTAAGTGTCTCCACAGAGCTCATTTACGTGTATCCAGACGCAGTTGTCTATGGATTTGCCCTCGCAGTGCCAACCGCTAGCTTCATGGTTACCTCAATGCGTAGAGTGACCGCCCTCAGAAGGCGTTGGTGCCAGGTTCGATCCCCAGACCAAGACGCATTCTTCGGCAATCAGGTGGTTTTTATTTCTGAGAAATTCATGCAGAAGTTCATGTGGCTTTATGCCACGAAAGAGTGCTTCTCTATTTTTTTTCTAAGAACACGATTGTGTTAGATGAGATGACAGATGAAAGCATGAGCTGGTTTCTGTAAAACTATGCTTGCTACACACGTTCACGTGTTCCCACTTTAAGGCAGTGATACAAATGTTAGCATTTGATGTCCCCTAACCGTGATATGACAATGAAAGACGCCGTATAGTGGATGGCATGAGAAGCTTCGATCACCTTAGGTATCTTAACCTGTTCCTATACTGAAAGACACATCAGCTCTAGCGTTGTACATCCTGCGCAGGATTGCTAAGATGGGTTCGGTTTCATAACACCACTATAAATGTCAGTACTGAGTTTCATGAAATATTTTGAGAGTTTTGCTGGTGCAATACTTGTTAACCTTTATGGAAAGCTATTTTTATATGTTTTATTTGCGTGTTCAAATCACTAATGCTCAGTGCAAGCCATTATTTATTGAAGCCACTGCAGTACTATAAACTTCCGCAAATTTTACAGCGAAAGCTGGTATGAAATCGCAAAGGCTGGTTCTGGTGCCGAATTTCGCCGGTGTCCGTAACAACTACCCCAACAATTAAGACAAAACAGCTCTAATAAATGAATATTGAGGGCAGAAGTGGAACCGCGCCTAGCTCCTCTGCACGGCAGCCAAGTACTCTGCCAATCAGCTTCATCGTTTTTCTATAGCATAGAATCAACACCAGTATATCAGAGTTTGTTTCAAACTCGCTTTACCCGCGCTTCCTGTCAGGTAAAAAATTGCCTTAACATGCGTAGTAACGCGTTTCAGTGGAGTAAAGTAACGACCTGACATCAGACATTGTGAATCGCGTAACGGGTGGGGCCCAACTTATTACAAAAACCTCAGGCGTACTTCTTCAACGTCGTCATCACAGCATGAACTGAGTGCTTAGGTGTTAGGTGCTTTTGCACCACTAAATATACAATATTCATGAACGAACTCGCCCAAGCAACAGTTTTAGCTTAGTCCACATATTGATTTTCAATCAGGTGGGTAGCGGTTACCACGTTTTTGCGAAAAATGAGGAATTATAGCATAAAGGACGCTTCCCTACACCACAAAAATTATGATGGTTTATGGCATTATGGGTGCATTCGTATACACTTGCAGATGCCGCCCCAGGAGTGTTTAAAAAGGCTTTGAAAAAGGCTGATTTTTCAGCTTTCGCTGTGGCTTTGCCGTGCGTTTTTCGCCGGCATGGCGATATTTTTGTTCGCTTGTTATCCTAGTAAAAAAGTCTCAACATATATTTAATAGACGTAAACATAGAGCTAGGGATTCATTTCTTACAAAATACAATTTAAAGATGAAGATAATTATCAAGCTGAGTGAGAAATTCTGGATACAGCATTATCAGCAGCCAACTTATTTGAAGAACCATATATTGACCACGTGATTGTATATTTTTATTCATGCAGCCTCAACGGATTGTTTTACATGCAGTTAAGTAAAGTACACCATTACCTCTACCATTAACCCTCCGTCGAAAGTTGCCAGAATTTTCGCTGTCACTTTCTGATCTCTGAACATTGTAACCACAATGCCACCACGGAAGCAAGCTTTCCCCAAACTATGGGACAGTTTAAAACATTGTCGTACTTTGAGGCTGCGTGTACAAAGTGATGGAGAGAACAATGTCAATGCACAGTGGCTGCTGCTGTGCCAGGAGCAAAACTTTCAAAGCTGCCTACGCTTCTTGACGCAGACGTAACTATAAATTGCAAACAAAAGTATTACAAAGTAGAATGTCTCGAATCAGTATTTCAGCGTTTACAGTGTAACTTTCGTGCTTTTCGTTCTGTGGTTACGTGATCGCCAAAAAAGGGGCATCCGCGCCGCCGCGGTTGTCTAGTAGCTAAGGTACTCGGCTGCTGACCCTCAGGGCGCGGGTTCGAATCCCGGTTGCGGCGGCTGCATTTCCGATGGAGGCGGAAATGTTGTAGGCCCGTGTGCTCAGATTTGGGTGCAGGTTAAAGAACCCCAGGTGGTCTAAGTTTCCGGAGCCCTCCACTACGGTGTCTCTCATAATCATATAGTCGTTTTGAGACGTTAAAACCCACATATCAATCAATCAAAAAAGGGGGATCCTTAAGCTTCGCCTTTTGAGCATGATCACGATATCCTGTCCCTAGTGCGTAATTCAAAAACCTAGTGCATAGTTCCGATCTATCATGCTAGTTGATAAGTTTTAAATATGCAGTACTACAGTCTATACTCGAAAAAGGTGAGAGTGGCTTAGGTCAGTTATGCTTTTGCATATGGCTGCATTCTGGTAATAGGTGGTGTAAGACCATTGTCAGAACAGAGTGCATGGCAGTATCAGTTTCTGTTTATTTTGTGCCGTATGCTTGGAGAGGCATGCCAGTCGTTGTGCTGCATTTGCTTCGGCACACAGCATTGCTTTGGCAGTTTACAGTGAGTGTACGACCGCTTCGGCCCTGACCGTAGACACCATGGTGCCCGTACGGCAGCCCGCGAAGTGCTGGGGCGCCTTAAATAATCGATTGCTTCTGGTTTCTGTTAACACTGGACAAAAGAGCCAACCCCCACGTACGCGCCAAGGGGGAGCGATGGTAACGTCAATGTGACGACCCCCTGATTGCCTTACGGCACATTCGGCCTGCACATGAAGGAGCCTCTTTCGGGGTCCAGTGCAGCAGTATGAGCATCGTTCGCCAAAAACCCAGTCATTTGCTGTTTCTGCGCCTAAAGTCGCCGCCGAGTCACGATGGTGTGTGGTGCGACAACTTGGGATCACCGGCGACTTTCCGTCACTGTCCGGCGTCCTTCAGCTATCTCTCGAAAGCGAGCGAGCTTGCGACACGCGAAAGCGAGACCCACGTCGCGGTAAAGTGGGCGGCCAGTCGGCGCCTTTGACGAATGCTGTCGCACTAGCATGCCTTCGGCTCTTTCTGCGCTAAGCATTTCAAGCTGGTTCGACGGAACCTCCGCGACAGAAATTAGCGCAACGAACTCGTAATTTAAACTGCGTGCGGAGAGCGAGCGGTTTCACTTACAGCGCACAAGGGAGAGGTGGATTACTGTCCCCTAGGCAATAAGCTGACGTTTTGCAAGGGATGTCTTTCTTATGGCTACGAATCCCAGAACGCGTAGCTTTAAGTTTATATAGGTATGCACCCGCTGAGCATGCCCTTGCCTCTATGACCTTGGTTTATCTTTGTGTATTTGTATTTCCATGATGAGTTATTTGGGGTGGGGCCTGAAGCCCTCACAATTGCTCGAAAGTGTAATCCTCAGGGTAGATTGTCGATTTGCTTAGTGCACTGTCCTATCATAGAACGAACAAGTGACCATTCACCGACAGTGATGTAAAGGCACAGCACCGAGGCAATAAGAAGTGGTTTCGGTGTTCCGCCATATCTTCCAAACAAAGTTTAAGGTGTTAGGTACCATCTGCTCTGCCGATTCCCGCAGGGTCACTCTAGAGACTGTTCATTTCCGCAGAGTAAAACAGTCTGCAAATACATTTTTTCACTTGCCTTACTAGAACTTCTTTAGTGGTTTCTCTTCTTCGGGTGACCAGCAAGTCCATAGCTGCCATTTGCTAAGCGGCAGTACGTTACTCCCTCTCACTTTGCTATACCATTTCGTTGCAGCAGTCCCGGGAGACGAGTGGGGAGAGTTCTCTTCCAGCATTCAGAGAACCCGACTTTTACTCTACTTAACCCAACATCGTTCTTGTTATTGCCGATTTCGCAAGTTCTCTTTACTTCTGGATTTCTTAAAAATTAGGTTACCTTTTGAAGAATACGGTCACCTTTTTTAGCTTGGTATAATAAATGAAGCCCCACTCGAAATCGGGAGTGTGTTTCACAAAACTTCACTGTCACAATCCGCCACTCAATTATCATTTACGGAGGATTGGTCATGTGCAATCTCTTCTTTGATATTGTTATCAACAGCCTGAAACATGGATTATTGTTCACTCATTTGCCGACATTTCACAAGGCATAGAAGAGAAAACTCGGCAGATCGCACGTGGACTTGGGAACTGGCGTTATGTGAAGCATGTGGATTGAAGGTGACTGTGTTTCGAATTTGAATTGTGCAACAGGTTTTTATATGCCGCAAAATGTATTTCAAAATGTAGAATGCACAGGCATATGTTCAGAAGCTGCAGATATTATTAAAACTGCTTCTTTTCACTTGTGCAACAATACCTAAAAGAACATGAATACTAGCGACACCAGTAGCGATAAACTGATATGAAGTGCTGGCGCTTCGCGAGGATGGTAGCTCTGGACACTGCTAATTGATTCAACTTCAACGGATAGCACCTAAATACAACTGACCTCATCCTTACGTGACTTCTGTATGATAGGCGCATACATGTAATGTTTAAAAAATGGGATAGCAAGCATTGAGATCCCATTTGACGTTTCCGAGAACATCAGGGTCTATTTGCAAAGTAGTACCAAGACCTGGTGCGGCTCTGTGGTTGAATACTTGACTGCTACGCAGCATGCTGGGGCTTGATTCTTGCTGAGACCCTATATTCATTCTTTGCTTTTGTCGAGTGAACGCTGCCGATGTCAGCTTTTTTTAAAGCTCTCGCATTAATCTTACCAGTGTGTGTTCTCACTTTCCCTGAGCAGATACTTAGTGTCAATCACCTGAGGTACATAACGCATGCCAGCGGGACATACACGCCCGTGAGCATGTGCCTAGATTTGGTGGTGAGGGTTTGACGACATACGCGACGGGATTGTGACATTCAAGTGTTCACCAGCGCGTCATATTCTTCAAACCGTCTTATCCTGCCATACTAATCTTGGTTCAGGCAAAGTTAGGGGATGTGATCACAAGAGCACCCAGACGTGAACAGCTATGTAGATAGATATATTGATTGATAGAAAGATTGATAGATAGACGCGTAGACAGACGCCAAAAGTTATTGCAGTACGGGAAGAAATGCTTCGCATATAAAACATTGAGAAATGTTAAGTAGAAAATGAGCATTGAACCATCATTTTTCTTAGGGCTTCTCCTATGGGCCACAACAAAAAGAACCTCATCCTAGAATTCTAAGGAGTTCTAGGACACACAAAAAAGTTACTTGCTAGCTCATTCCGAACTGAATATCTTCTACTTTAAAGATCCTCCTTTATTTCTTTATTTCAAATATTACTTGTTTTCTTACTATATTTGTAGGTAACCCTGATTGTTCAATTTTACATTCCCGGGATGACGGAATAATTACTTTTTCTTCATCAAATTTCGAATTAGTTTTCACCATAATTATAACTGCCCAGTTTAAGTGGCCAATGAACAGGCGGAAAACGAGAATAAAAGCGGCTACGAACGTAAGCAATCAGTACAAGCAAGCAAGTAAATACATCTCTCACGGTGAACTTGGGGCTGGTTGGTTGGACACATGACAGGGTGTGGAGGATCAAGGTAGTAAAGATACACATGCAATCACTCGTTGCGCTAAAAGTTGAACTTGACTGGCTGGATGAATAGCGCTACGTGTGTTTGCATGCTTGCATTTAAGGGCCTGGTCTTTCACACTCTTTCTTTTACGAAACAAGTACTCACAAAATGAGATGAACATACAGAGCCTAAGGCGAAACTAGAGAGGGTGAAGGAGAGAGATGAAAATAGAGAGGAAGAGTTTTGAAAAAAAAACAACGAGAAACGAGATTATATATATAGAAAAAATAAAGAACACAATCAAAATATTAACGAAAGAATGAGAAAGGGACAGCAAAAAATAAATAGTAAGAAACAAGGAAATGAGAGGTGAAAATTAGATACATAGGAACATAGGGAGGAAAACTGGCAGTTGTGTCATGTATGAATACAACCGATGAAGAACGGGATGTGAGGGATTATGCGGCTTATCCCTTCTGGCTTTCTTGATGGTGGTAGAGTGGAAAGCTGGTCAGTAGAGGGTTCGCAGGCCGTCGGTGGTGGGAACGACTATGCGAGTGAGTTGAAAGGCGTGCGCAAGCTTGCCGTCACGCTTGCACTGCCGGTGCACCTCCTTTTTTCAGCGAGCTTGCGCTGAGTGAGGAGCTTCACGGGCGGCGGTGACGAAGTGCGGGCCAAAGGGACTCCTAGAAAAGCTAAAGACAAATGGGATAGCCACCAACTGGTGCAAAGCTGCCTTATTCTTTTTTTCTCTTCTTTTATGCGCAGCCTGATGAGACACATGTAAGCGAAATAGTTTCACCATTATTCATTTTCGTGAAATATGCTATTACCTTCATTGATTCATTAGTCCATAGGTTTTTGTAGCTAAAAGAGGCTGTATTAGGATAAATATTCGTATACTATTTCCTGTAGCATTTATTCTCGTGCAAAGTGATCTTGATATCGTTTTCATCATGCGCAATACTTCACCTTTTAAAAAAACGTGACATTCAAGAAATAAGGTTCAGTGTAAGATTCAGAAAGTGCTGGTCATAGTGACGGGAACAAAAACAGTAAACATCAGGATATATCCTCCCCGTGTCCTTTGAGTCTGTCCCATGTCCCGTTATTCTCATTACCAACCGGTGTTAGATTTCCATCTGATCTGCCGTTCTCTATTGTCGTGTTAGGCACCTCAGTTCACACACACAGGGTGGCTCAAAAAGTTCCCAGGCCACTATTTTATGCATTTCTACAAGAGCGTCCCCTGGGAACTTTTGACCCCCCTCCCCCATGTGCAAATATGCGTCTTTACTAGTTGCAAAATGTTTGAAATAGCCGTTATAGCCCTAATTGGAATTTCATAAAGAGAAACCTTTTATCACCTGCAGGAGCTGCCGGGATGTCTGGAAGAAAGCGAAGCCGTTCACCCTATGGAAGCCCTGGCAGGATTGGCATGAGACTTTAAAGTTTGTGTTCACTGTCGATCTGAAAATGTTGCAACACAGGTAATAAATGGCGTTTCAAGGCATTTTCGTGCTGTAACACTTGCATATTGTTATTTTATATGGTCATAACTACTCCTGCAAGGCAATAACAATTTTTAATTATTAGTAGTGCCTGTAGTTCACGCTGTGTTTAAGAAATTTCTAAGTATACCGTAATATAGATTGAATAAACAAATGCATATGAAACGAAGTGCTCTTTGCTTTTGTAGCATTGTTATTTTTTTGTCAGCAATCTTCGAGGTCTGTTTGACACGACCAGAAAAGAATAAGGCGCCTTAGCGCATACACTTGTTATTTTACAAAATGACCACACCACCTGTTTCTGTCAACAATTATGCCAAGATCCGGCGGAAAGCCACCACGTTTCCGCCCCGACTCAGGCGTCGCCTACACTGAGGGGCTGCTAGGATGTTCCTCGAGGACACCCTTGGGGTTTGACTCGTCATGTCTTTTTAAAAAAACTTCTTGACTCACTGACTGTAGAATCCATGGATATACAAGCTATGTACCTGTAGTATGTACCTCTGCCTGTATGTTCTTGTACCTGTACTACATGCTTGTGTCGGGTACAAGCGCATGCAAATGTTGGTTGGTTGTTCCTCAGAGTCCTGACGCAACCCACCACGGGGGATCGGCCACGAAACGGGTGGTGCCTCATTTGTGAGGTGGAGTTGTTTTACCAGCCGGATTATTTAGATAACGATGTTTAAACAAAGAACCAATGGGTAAAAGATAGATTGGAAATACACTGTAGGTAATACAAATGCCAAAAAGGCTAATATGACTTGAAATAAAGTAAATTTATGCATCAGCTTAACATTCTAATTGTTTTGTTCCCTTTAGAAAATCGCATACGGCCTAGCAAACACTCCTGTGGCTTAATCCTCTTTCAGTTGCTCCAAAAGAGAGGATCACCAGAAGGGATAAATTATAGCCAACCTACGGAGAGGTTCTTCTAACAGTCTCTTCCTTTGTTTTGTGTATAACCTACATGTTAAGAAGAAGTGGTGAAGGAATCAACTCTCGTTGCAGTGGAGGCACAGGGGACACTGTATGGATAGTGGCCTAGGAACTTCATCAAGTTCAGGGGGGGGGGGGGGGACTCGGCATCTTTGTCTCGTAATTGATATTTCCGTCGTTCTAGAGAAGCACCATGAATTTTTCCAAGGGTACCTAAAAGATGGGGAAAATTAGATGTTGCCAAGCGAGATTTTTCAAAATGATCTGACATGGCAAATTTTTCAAAGCGTGCCACGGCGACAAATGCTAACGTCGGCAAAATAGAAATTATGGGATAATTATGTGAGGCCACTGCGAGTGCATCTGCGTATTCGTTGAAAGCTGAACCTTTATGCCCTGGTATCCACACCAAGCGAATGAGTCGTAAATGTCTGGGGGAAGGTCGTAAAATACTTTTCAAGCATTGGACACATTAGGCGCAGGTAATACTGCACACAGACAAGCAGTCTGAAAGAATAATAGCATCTGTTACTGATTGAGGTAATTTTCGTAACGCTAAGAGAATCGCTAGCAATTCCGCCTGATAAATAGGTGTGAAATAAGGTAAACGAATCGAAAAAAAACCAATTCAACACTGAAGATGCAATTCCAACACTGAAGATGCAATTCCAACAGAAGCATCAGTTGCTATTTGAATCTTTGTGTCCAATCTTGCCAGGTGGTCTTTCAAAATGGCCTTTAGATATCTACTGGGAACAGTTTTGCAATTAATAGAAAAAATATTGTCAAATTCGATTTCCTTTGTTTGAATAGGTGTTCTTAGTACCCGTATTTCACGAAGGTTAACATGTAATGTTTCCAAGACCTTCTGTACGACTGTGACTTGTGGCCACTCAATATAGACCACTGTTGGTTGAAAAAGGACGTCGGCTCATCAATCAAAACCTATTGCGACTTCCTGTGGGGAGATGCGTATATTTTTAGGAAGGTACGGACTGCTAGGATTTGGAACCTAGCACGAAGAGAAGGCAGGCGTACTTCCTTATATAAAATATTAATTGCGACTAATTTAAGGAGCCTGAGACATAAACGTAACGCTGCGCGTTCCAGAAGTACAAGTGGTCTTATTTTATAGGCAGATGCTCCAGAAAACAAGACACAGCCAGACTCCAATATTGGGCGAATATACATTTATTATATCATTATTAGCACATCACGACGTAAACCACAACATTTATTGCTGAGTATACGAAGCATTTCAAGTGCCTGTGCTCCTTTAGCTGCCATATTTTTTATATGCACACTTCAATTTATGTTATCAGTATAAATGAATCCCATGTATTTAATCGATTTCACCTGCGGGATAAGATTATGTCTGTAAAGTACGCAAATCTGCACTGGAACGCTTATAGTAAAAACTATGATTGCACTTTTCCTGATGTTTACTGATAGATTAATGTCGTCTAACCATGTGCCCAGAGCGTTCGTATAAAAACTGTAGGCATCTGATATAATGTATGTATATCTGTAGCTGTAGCAAAAAAAAAAGGATGTCGTCAGCGTATACATACACCTGTACATCATGTTGTACTGGAATTGCGCACAATAAAATAATAAATAATAATGGTGAAAGTACCAAACCTTGGAGGAGACCTCTAGTTTGTTTATACTTTGAAGACGACATGCCAGATTGAGAGCAATAGAAATCTCTACTATTTTAGAAAGGAGTAAACCCATGCCACGAAGTAATTTGGTACCCAATGTGACGTTAGTGAATTCATTAGTTTATGTGTTTGACACTGTCTAAGCTTTTGCAATATCTAAAGTGACTAAGGCGGGAACCTGTTTCTTAGAACAAGATAGTTGTATCCTGCTTTCCAGATTAACATGGGAACACCAAATGGAGCAGCCATGCCTGAATCCAATTTGGCATGGGCTTAAGATTGCAATTTCGTACAACCAGTTGTCTATCCTAATGTGTAGAAGTCTTTCGATTATTTTTACCAGATTAGATGTGAGTGAATCAGGCCTAATGTTATCCAAAGTAAACCCAGTTCAATGTTTCTTCAATAAAGGAACTATTTTCGTGCTTCTCCACTCAGGCGGAATCCACGAATGTCTAATGGAGTGGTTACCTAGTGCAAGTAAGCGCGCTGGTGATTCCGAATAGTTAGGGGATCATGTTGGAAATGCACGCGCCTTTTGTAGATAAAGAAAGAGGACGAGGACTTTCAGAGAGACTCACACACAGTGTTGGCCTGTGTGGTGTTTGAGTTTGTGTGGCGTTTGAGAAAATTCCGACGAAACATTATTCCTACAATCTGAAAATTTTCGGCACTTGCAATTCACAAGAACACCATGAAATGCCTTTCCCGTCAATGTGAAGCGACCCTCACAAGCTTTCGCTGTAGAGTTCCTAGGTTAAATTTTTATCTCCATCAATCATCATTATCATTAACTAAGCTATTGTTACGAGTGACTTTGTTTATTTAAAGATTAGGTGAAATGCCGTCGTGAAAGAGCAGCGTACTTCTTAGACAGGCCTAGAACGCGTCACCCAACAACACAGTCCAAGCGCCGCTCCACTAATCTTCTACTTCCGCGCCCCGTAGGCTCGCGCATCTTCGTTGCATTTCCCCCGGCGGCAGACAAAGCTCGCCGAGCGAGTTAAATAGACCTATGATGGTACTGTTTGAGGCGTCTACGTGAACAATTTGCGTAGTGCGCGAACGCTGGTTATTGGCTGTGACTCGGGCGACATCGTAATTCACGTCACTGAGACGAGTGACTATCACGAATGGGCCGGAATAGTTTGCTAGAAACTTCCGGTACAATCCTTTTCTACGAACAGGAGTCCACAGCCACACGTAGTCACCAGGAGAAAACTCTACGGGGATGTGCTTGGCATCGTAGCGACTCTTGCTGTGTTCTTGCGAAGACAATGTTCGAAGGCACACTAGTTGACGTGCTTCTTCAGCGCGACACAACGTCTGAGCGATAGACAGATCTTCCTGATGCGAGAAAGGTAATAGAGTGTCCAGAAAACTCCGTGGATTTCGTGCGTAAAGCAGAAAGAAGGGCGAATGTCAAGTAACTTCATGCTTGGCGGTGTTATGCGCGTAAGTAACAAACGGTAAGACGGCGTCCCAGTTCCTGTGGTCAGCATCAACGTACATCGATAGCATTTTCATGAGAGTTTGATTTGTTTTCTCAGTGAGACCGTTAGTTTGCGGATGGTAAGGGGTGGAGTGGCGATAAGAGGAGCCACAAAGGCGCAAAATGTCTTCAACCACATCGACGATAAATTTACGTCCACGGTCGCTGATGACAACCCGTGGAGCACCGTGACGCAGTATGACACGTTGTAACAGAAAAGAAGAAACAGCGGCTGCTGTGGCCGATGTCAGTGCGTTCGTTTCCGTATAACGCGTTAAATAATCCACGCACACTATAACATATCGGTGGCCCGAAGGGGTCTTAGGAAGCGGTCCGAGCAAGTCGATGTCACCTTTTTCAAAAGAGAATGTCGGTGGCGGGATGGGCTGCAAATAACCTGCCGGGGCAGTGGTGGATCGCTTGTGGCGCTGACATATAGCGCACCTGGCGACGTACTGTTTTGTTGTCTTCCATATTTTTGGCCAGTAGAACCTCTCACATAGTCGATGTAGCGTACGTGTGAAACCGAGATGACCGGATGTTTTGTCATCGTGCACAGAACGAAGGACGACCTGGCGCAGGCTTTCCGGCATCACTAGAAGCAACGGGAGGGCATCAGCTGAATAGCTTCTTTTATAAAGCAAGCCATTTGAAATTTTAAAGTGCTTGTCGATGGAGTTATGTACAGCTTCGAGCAAGAGTTTCAGAGTAGGGTCGCGCTGCTGCTCACGTTTGAAGCTGATGGTATCTGGGAAGTCGGACGAGACAGAAACTAAATAGTCATCAATGTCATCGTCGTCAGCGTTGGTGTGTAGTGAAGGAAGGCGGGACAAGCAGTCAGCATCTGTGTGAAATCGTCCGCTCTTATAGGTAACAGAAAAGCTGTACTCTTGGAAGCGCAA